CTAGTAATCTCAACATCAGAACGGTGAGCCCCAATAAACTCGTCACCAAGGTAGTGCTCCTCCTCAGCTACGGTAGGGCGATGACGACGCGTGCGTGGAATAAGGTCACAAAAATGGTCGGAGGACTCAGCCTCATCATCATCATCATTTATAACTGCTATACAAGAGGTGCGAATCTTCACAAGTCTTGCAGACAAATCATGCGAGGACAGCCTTTGCCCAAGTTTTCTCCAAAATGGGAAGGGCCCTACAAGGTGGTTCAGGCGAGCTCAAGCGGGTACTACAAACTTGTAAGGGTTGAAGACGGCTTCCGAACTGGCCCGCTCAATGCAAAGTTTATCAAGCATTACTACCCATAGTTGGACTCATCTATGGTCAGGAGTCCGGATTTAAAGCCAGTTACAAGACTAGTTTCAAATCGTCTCGTGGACCTATTGTTGCTGCTGCCTCTGCCCCGGATACCCGAAATTCACAAGGAGGAGGTCATAGAGGCCAGAAGAGGAAGCAATATAATGGTGAAAAGGGGAATGTTTCTTATCCATGTGGAATTGAGGAAGTGAAAGCTCTAGTTAAGGAATGGGTGGCTGACGGAGAGCTAAAATTGCCTTATGTTGAAGAAATGCCATCAAAAAAGGACCGTGAGAGCCCTGAATTTTGTGCATTATCAACCTTGAGAGTGAAAGTGGGAGATCCATGGGAGAGCCTTGCCATTATTCTATTCTCTAGCCATTTTGCCTTCTTCTTCACCCAATCTCTTATCTCCATCATCTCCTTTGTTGTTGTGTTCCTAAGTTGAGATTATTGAAGAATCTAAGCCTCTCATCATATTCTAGAGAATTTGAAGTTGTTCTACATCATGAGGTGCCTATAAATAGCACCCACCCATAGCTTTACAAGGGATGGATTTTGGAGAGTTTTTATCTTTTGGGAAAGAACTAATTTCCCTTCTCCATTATCAACCTTGAGAGTGAAAGTGGGAGATCAATGGGAGAGCCTTGCCATTATTCTATTCTCTAGCCATTTTGCCTTCTTCTTCACCCAATCTCTTATCTCCATCATCTCCTTTGTTGTTGTGTTCCTAAGTTGAGATTATTGAAGAATCTAAGCCTCTCACATTTCTTCTAGAGAATTCGAAGTTGTTCTTCAAGAATCTTTGAGGATCTTCGAATTTTCCAACTCTTTTCTTGAACCCTCTCCTACAAAGTTGAAGTTGAAGTTAAAGTTGAAGTTGAAATTGAAATTGAAATTAATGAATGGGCAACGAAGAAACAGGGTTTCAGACTAGTAGCAGTTACGGAGTCACTATAACATGATAAAATTTAACAGATTAGAAATGGGATTTCGCAGTGACATCAAACATTGTAATTTCGCAGAACTTTCTTCCTCTAATTACCATTTTGTTTCTGGAACAATATACCCACACCCAAAAAAAAAAAAAAAAAAAAAAAAAAAAAAAAAAAAAAAAAAAAAAAAAAAAAAAAAAAAAAAAAAAAAAAAACCAAAAAAAACAATAAGCAAAATCAATAACAAATACGACAGGTAACACATGAATATTTGAGGTGAAAGGTATTAGATGTATTTCCTGATTACAAAAAAGAAGCAGAAGACCACCTCTCAAAAGCTGTAAGTCAGAAAAAAGTTTCAATCCTGGTTGTTTTATGTGCTACACTGCTCAGGCTGAGGGTTACGTTTTGAAATTGGCTGATGTTATTCCAGGTGAAGTTGAATCCATCTCTGGCAGATGCTTGGCTCTGTTTAGGTAACTGCATTTGGAAAAATGGAGATCTACCTTCAGCAAAAAACTGCTTTACACTTGCACTAAACAAGGTTACGTTTTTGAGTTATGATATATTTCCATTGTTTCTCCAATTTCAGCAGTGATGTGTGCTTTTATTTCTGCTTTTATTTTTGACATATTTCCATTGGTTTGGCTCCTTGATCACATCTATTTTCTGGTTTAATTTTATATCCTTGTTCTTAGCTAGTTTTCGTTATGTGAATGGAAATTTATAATTTCTTTTATTGTCTTTTAAAGAACATTATTGTCAATGAAAATTTTATTTTTGTGTCATGCATGAAATTGACATCCTACTTCTTATGCATTTAATTTTCATCGCCTGTAACGATTGGTTCTGTTATTTATTATATTTTGGTTTAAATTTATTACTATTCTGGAATGCATAAAATTGTTGTGATCTTTCCTTGTGATTTTTATATTCATTGGTAGCGTAATCAACAGTTTACATTGACACTTGGTTTGTGGTTCCATAAATGCAAGATCTTTGTCTTTGTGCTTTGCTTTGGATTGATTTTCTCAAATTCTGCTGGTACATGAACTATTAGACCATTATGATACGATCAAGTCTGCTTTTCTTAGCTTTTGGTTCCGGTTTCGTTGCAATTGTATGACTTCAATCTGTGACCTCTGTTTTTGTCATAAGAATTGTGGCCTGTCTATTTTTAACAATCAACTTTACTTTTTTATGTATTGAAGGGCATTATTTGAGTGCCTCAGCACAGATGTGGGCTAGCACTCACAATGACAATCTCAAAGAGAAAATGTATGTAGTTGTTTCTGCGCTATCTGCCTCTCGAGATAAAATGGGTACAGGATATCTTTCTGCTTTCCCTTCTGAACAATTTGACCGTTTCGAAGCTATAAAACCTGTTTGGGCACCATATTACACCATTCACAAGGTAAAACTGCATTAGAATTCTAGTTTTTTAGTTTAACTCATACTTTTATTGTATATAACTGACTTTCACCTTTTCTTGATTAACAGATAATGGCAGGTCTTTTGGATCAATACATATTGACCGAAAATGCTCAAGCTTTAAAGATGTTGACATGGATGGTTGACTACTTTTACAACAGTGTGCTGAACTTGATAACAAAGTACAGTGTTGAAAGGCACTATTTATCATTAAATGAAGAAACTGGTGGCATGAATGATGTCCTTTATAAGTTGTATGCAGTAACGGTGTGTACAACTCATCTAGGAGTCTCTTTAACTGTTCTTCTTGGTTCTTCACCATGTTTTAGTAATCTGATTATCTGTTAGATTTTTTTCTATCAAATATCAACCCCAATGATTGGGTTCATCAGGCCTTAGGAAATTCCACTGCATATGCTATTTCTGGAATTTTGTGTCAATCATATACATAGTATAGTACGGGTTCCCTTATAGCAATAGGCAATCTACAAAAGTTGTTTCATTCAATCTGAAATTCTGCAAAGAGTTTGACAACTTATTTTGCTTTGAATATGTATAGTATGATAATGCTTTTAACGGCAACATATCCTGCATTGAACAAGCTAGTGTCATTTTATAATCCCAATATTGGGTTGTAAAAGCTTCTGAGTTTGATAAATGGCAACACATATTATGAGGTTTTTGTAAATTGTCACAATGGTCGGGATTTGATTTAATTCATCCTTTTTTTTTTCTTTTTCCTTTTTTTTTAAAAAAAAAAAAATGGGTTTTGTTATTTCTTTGTAGCTTATCATTTTATAAGTCTTCCATGACTGCAAATGCTATGATATTTTATAACTTATTTTTGACAACCATTCATTTATTTCTGTGTGTAGGGAGATTGGAGGCATTTATTGTTGGCTCACCTTTTTGATAAACCCTGCTCTCTACGATTGCTCGCGGTAAAGGTAATTATTGTTTTCTTTTGTTTACTTATGTTAACTTCCTATTGATCTCTATTATTTTTTTGGTCCATTTTACCTCAAATTGTTGAGTCAAAGAATATATATTTTCTTTTTGAGAGACAAGACTATTCCATATGGTGAACTATTTTTTTCCCGTACAAAAAAGGTGCATCATTGACTCCAATTGTTGGCTGCATCCAAATGAACTCTTTCGTTTGCACTTTCTTTCTGCTGTATTTGGGTGGGTTACTGGGTTTGGGATGAAGCAACCACTGCTGGAACCTACTCATATTTCATTTTTGTCTTTCACTTGTAGGCTGATGATATTTCTGGGTTTCATCCCATATAGTTCTTTCAAGTTTTTCTTTCTTGGATTTATGGTGATGAGGCTATTTTTATCCCATTAAATCATGGTTGCTGACTTCCAGAATTGTATTGTACTTGTTGAGAATCAAGGTTACTTCTGACTGATGATCACTTTGAACTCCAGTAGCTAGCTAAAGATATTGAGATTCATTTCATTCAATGATCATTACAGAGGGTTCTAATGTACATGTGATACAATGCTTTAACCATAACCACTAACTTCCTAACCTGACCACAACTACTTGTAGTTAACTATAGTTCTAATAGACTAACGACTTGATCTGAGGAGGCTTCACACTGCAGCTGTCATTTGTGGCTTGAGTTGTGGCTGCTGTGTCTTTGGCTAAGGCTGCAGCCTTGACTGTGTTGCTGCTCTATATCTGTTGTTGCTCTGTATCTATGCTTAGCTCAGATATCTTATCACTAGCAACCATGTAAATTTTGTCATATTTCATCACAAAAAATATGCCAATATGGTTTAGCTATGTCATAAACTTCATATTGAAATTTTCACTCCTATATTGCTATAGGGCCATGTCATAAACTTCATGGATTAGGATATATTGATCTTACCTTGTCAAGAATTATGTGGTTAGTGCAATAATGTTCTTCTTATTGGATGACATCTTCAGGCATTTACATCTAAGGGTTCACGTTATTGTTGTTGCTAGTTTGCAACATATGTAATTGTAATAATAGGTGGAAAACCTTTTATTTTCTTTATTTCTTTCTTCTTCTTTTGTTTGTTTGTTGTTTGCAGAGACAGATACTAGTCACACACTGATTATTCAAGTACGCTTATGTCAGGTATTATCCTCCTTTTTCAAATACAATTGTGTAATTTTTGTTGGTGCATGACTCTTATCAGGAAAAGAACAAAATTCTATGTGGAAATTATGCCAAGCAATGTTGCGAAAAGGTTGAATTTGGTGTGGATCAGGTAAAGGCTTATATCAAATCTAATTGCTCATGAGTTTAAATTTGATAAACTATTTAGAACTATGACTTTAAAACTCGGCCTATCAATGTTGAGGTTGTGGGTTCATACTTTGAAGCCAGCCACTTTCTACAAATGGGGGAGCTAAACTGTATGCTCTTTTTTTGTCTTTTCTTTTTTTATTTTTATTTTTTATTTATTTATTTTTTTTATCACTTTGATTTGAATTGAAATTTGGGTTTCATAAGGTAGATTTGCGTATATGGTTCCAATTTAAGTGACTTATTTATATAGGAAAACTTTATCTTAGTATATTATATTACTTGAATTTAATTTATATGGGTTCCAGTTTGATTTATTTATAATCAAATTAGAATTCTTTTATATTTGGGTTGGCTTTCAATCTTGGTTGTGCCCACTGGCAGTCTTAGTCTTAATGTTAGACTTGGGAAGAATGTTTTGCCTTTGTTACTCCGACTAGTTTTCTACATAACTGATCTTTTTCCAAGTCTGAGATGCTTATATGGAATGTGAAGCTGCTTCTTGATGTTGACCATTCATTATTTTGTTAGTGACAAGTGCTTGATTATGGCCATAGCACTTGTGTTATAGGGAAGGCACGAGATTAGTTATACATTTATTCACAACAGATTGATAAAGCCAGTGACCCTCTGAAAATCAAATTGGAAGCGGAGAAAAGAAAAGACACAGTATGCATCTCTGCCATAAATGGTGATGGACTTTTTCTTTTTGGTGTTGGTCATGCAAAACAATATATAATATAGTAGTTTTTCTAGCTCTTTCAATCTAAGAAGTAATTTAATCAATTGGGAATAACAATGAACCTCTAAGTCAAGCACATAAGCAAATTTTCTTCCCAATACTATATAAATTAATCTAGACGAGTTGGTTTCTTCTAAATAATAGTTTTTTTTTTTTTTTTTTTTTTTTTTTTGTTTTTTCTTTTTTTAAATCTCTTTGTACTTTAGTTATTCATAAGCAATTGTCTCATTTGCTTTTATTATTCTTTTTGTGATTAATAATTTGAATTCAATTTTAGCTTATTTGGGATGGCATTTATATATAGGATTGCACATAGCTTGTGTATTGAATTGGATTAAAAGGTAAGTTTTTTTCAACTTAAGAATGTGCTTGATTCTTTGAAACCGTATGTCTAATATTTTGTTTGTAATTTTGCTGTTTGCCTGTGAATATGGACATGCACTACAAGAATCTGCACTTTTAGCGACCAATATAAAAGTTGGCAGCTAAAAGTTACCTTTTGGGCAACCAAATATTAATTGGTCGCGAATGATCATTATTTTTGGCGACCAAATATGAGTTGGTCGCAGAAGGTCATATTTTGGCGACCAAAAAATGAGTTGGTCGCAAAAAGTGGTATGGTTTTGGCGACAAACTACAAATTTGGTCGCGGAAGGTCACATTTTGGCGACCAAAAAATAAGTTGGTTGCGGAAGATAAAAAATAAGTTGGTTGTGGAATTGACGACCAAAATTTTGGTCGCAAAAAACTTATCTTTAGCGACTAAAAATATTTTAGTCGCTGTATATTGAGTTTTGGCTACTAAAACAATGTCGTCGCTGAATGGAAAATAAAAAATTATTTTTTATCTTTTGGCTACAAAAATTTTGGTCGCCAAAAAACTTATTTTTAATGATTAAAAATATTTTAGTCGCCGTATATTGAGTTTTGGCTACTAAAACAATGTAGTCGCTGAATGGAAAATAAAAAATTATTTTTTCTCTTTTGGCGATCAAAATTTTGGCCTTCAAAAAAGTTATTTTTAGTGACTAAAATATTTTAGTCGCCGTATATTGAGTTTTGTCTACTAAAACTATTTAGTTGCCGAATGGAAAATAAAAAATTAATTTTTATCTTTCGCCAAAAAGTTATTTTCAGCGACTAAAAATATTTTAGTCGTTGTATATTGAGTTTCGGCTACTAAAACTATTTAGTCGCCGAATGGAAAATAAAAAGTTATTTTTTATCTTTTGGCAACCAAAATTTTGGTCGCCAAAAACTTATTTTTAGCGACTAAAAATATTTTAGTTGTCATATATTGAGTTTTGACTACTAAAACAATGTAGTCGCCGAATGGAAAATAAAAAACTATTTTTTATCTTTTGGCGACCAAAATTTTGGTCGGCAAAAAACTTATTTTTAGCGACAAAAAATATTTTAGTCGCCGTATATTGAGTTTTGGCTACTAAAACAATGTAGTCGCCGAATGGAAAATAAAAAAATATTTTTTCTCTTTTAGTGACCAAAATTTTGGTCGCCAAAAAACTTATTTTTAGCGACTAAAAATATTTTAGTCGTCGTATATTGAGTTTTGGCTACTAAAACTATTTAGTCGCCGAATAGAAAATAAAAAATTATTTTCTTATCTTTGGGGACCAAAATTTTGGTTGCAAAAAACTTATTTTTAGCGACTAAAAATATTTTAGTCGTCGTATATTGAGTTTCGGCTACTAAAACTATTTAGTTGCCGAATGGAAAATAAAAAATTATTTTTTATTTTTTTTGGTTGCCAAAAACTTATTTTCAGTGACCAAAAAAAAAATAGTCATCGTATATTTATTTTTTCCGACCAAAAAAAAGTTAGTCACCAAATTAATACTTTTGGCGACTAATATTTTAGTCACCGTTAATTAAGATTTGGCTACAACAAAATTTTAGTCACCAATTATTAACATTTGCCGACCAAAAACTACTTTTGTCGCCAAAGGTGTGAAAATTTTAGAGGGAAACAAATTGTCCCCGCCTGTTCTCTGTTTAAACAAATCAGATTGTTCTCTTTCTCACATAGATTCTCCTTCACCCCCACCTCACTGCTGGTGGCCACCAAAACGCAAGGCAACAATCTGCATCAAAGAAACAAACCAAAATTAATACCATATTAGAGTACAGAAGTGAGAGAGAGAGAGTACATGGAGTGTTAACCTGAATGGTGCCCATGAGATCAGTGTGCCAGAGGTTACGGTAGTTCTGGCAGAGCTGCATCTTGTCCAAATGCTCTTGCGACACCATTGACATCTTCGAAGAGCTCGAAAACCAGGAAACCCTACCTGATGATGAAGAGGAAGAAGATAAAGATTTTTGAAAACACTTTTGAAAAACACTCAAAGCACTTGGCCCATTCCTACAACTTTGGGTAATCTAAGTTGGTTCATGTTTTTCTAAGCTGGCTTGTTTCGAGGGGTGTGGTAGAGAGAAGGTTGAGAGAGATCAGGAATCAAGACGAGGACTCAAATCTGATTCAGATCTCGACGATTTTTCGAATCCGGCGGAGGCACTAGTGGAAGAGAAGGAGGATGAGCCCAGCTCTATAGTCAATTTTGGCAACTAAAATTATTTAGTCGCCGAATGAAAAATAAAAAATTACCTTTTATCTTTAGTGACCAAAAGTTTGGTCGCTAAAAATTTATTTTCAACGACTAAATAAATTTTAGTCATCATATACTAACTTTTGCCGACTAAAAGAAATTCAGTCGCCAAATATCTAGTTTAATTTGATTTTAATATTTGGTGACTACCTCATTTAGTCAGAAAATATACATTTGTGGTGACCAAAACAAATTTAGTCAGTATTTATTTTATTTTTGACGACTAATTGAGTTTTCGTCGTCGAAAATAATGTCTTGGACTACAAAAAATAAAATTAGTTCCTAAATGTGTAATCTTTAACTACTAAAAATAATTTAATCAGTATTTATTTAATTTTTAGCTATTAAATTTTGGTCGCTAATTATGATTAAAAATTTTTTAGGCTGGATTTCAAATTTTGGAGGGATTTTCAAATTAATTTGGTGAGGAAGGGATTTTGGAGGGATTTCAAACACACAACTTTGGGGCTTAGAAACAAAAGTGCCTCTCGCTCTGTGACTCTCTCTCTCGCATCTGCCCTCCTCCGATTATCTCTCTCTCTCTCTGTCTCTCTCTCCTCAATTCCCTGTCGCAGACCCAACCCCGAACCCCCTATTACTGTCTTCATTTTCTCTCTTCCTCACTCCCTCTCTCCGCCATCCCAATCTTCATCAACAGTGGTGGCCAACCTTCCTATTTCAACCATAGGGGAGATTTCGAAAAGAGCCACTACAAAAAGGAAGATTTCACTGGACCACCACCGTCTCCAGGGAGATCGGTACTCGGTTGTCGTCAATATTTAAGGAGATCCGAAACAGGTATTTTAATTAGTTAAGTTCTTCGTTTCCCAACCCCCCCTGAATCATATCAATCTCTCTCTCGGCAGATCTTGGTTGCTCACAACCAATTCTTCGCGGTTAAGCTTTCCGATCGGTGGTCGAAGCAGCAGCGAACTTCTAACCCCTACATTGTCGAGATTGCTGACTGTGATGATGTTGAAGTTTACATTGAGGCTCTAAGTTTGATGTATTGTAAGGATTTAAGGAAGAAGCTCATGAAGGAAGATGTCACTAGAGTACTTGGAATCTTGAAGGTACTAATAATCATTTGCACATTGTAGAGGAAACTATGAACTTTTGTTGAATTTGTAGATTTATATGTTTGTACCTATTTGTTTGTGTATATGAAATGATGTGTATACGTTTGTACCAATTTGCCTATATATATGTCTGTTTTTCTTGCCTTCAAACTATTTGATAAAATGTCTCTTAGGAACTACTTAGTGTAAAACACCCTTTTGGACCCATCCCCTGTTTGGGATGGAGGACAAGGTCAAAGTTAAATAATTCTAATAATACATTTGCTCATTGTGTCATGTCCCTGCTTTGAATCTTGATCTGTTTTGTTTGGTTTACATGATGCTAAAAATTGAATTTGACGTTTTCTCAGCATGCATTCTGGGCTACATACATGCTGCATTGCTTCATGTGTATCATGTCCCTGCCTTGTCTTCTGAACCTTGTTATTTGGGCCATGTTTGTTTGAGTGGACATGAGCTTGGGATTAGACTAATAGTCCAATAAAATTATTAATCCGATATTTGGTTAAACAATTGAAGTGCGGACTAATTATTTTAAACTTGACTATTAGTTAAGATAGGATACATAATCCAACGGATTCGTAATCGTAGGACTATTAGTCATGGGAATGCTAATCTAGTCCGCCCAAACAAACATGACCTTAGTGTACAGGATGTGGATGCCAAATGTTTGAATTAAAGTCCTGTTACTATGCCTTATGGATCATGTGCGTGCTGCACTGCCTCACCACTGTATTATTGTAAATGTATATGAAATTACTTTAGAAAACTGTCATGTTTTCTTCATCAAGGGGACCTTGGGGAAAAGAAAAAAAAAATCAATGAGATTATTGCCCTTACATCTTCATGTGACATACTGGATGGAGTAGAAATTTTTGTTATGTGTATGATCACTCAAAATTGGAAACATATGCAGCTTTGAGCTTGAATTGTTAGTATTGCAAGTTTGCAACAAAGAAAACCATGTGAATGGACCCATTTTATAATATTTATTTATAGTTGTTTTGAGTGATAGATATTATAGTTATTAGATGCAGTGCCACAAGTTGCAGCAAGTGTTTCATACTTCCATGATTAGATATTTTAGTATGGTTTGTTATGTTAACAAACGCTCCATATTGTGGCCATTACTTTTCTTTGTATGTGCATGGATTTAATTCTCTCTTTGTGCCACTTCCTCTTAAATTTTCCCCCTTTCTTTTACTTTCAAAGTTTTGTACTTTTCGAACCATTAAAGCAGCGTTGCTTGGTTCAATGGTGAAATCCCTGGCCTGGCAATCATGGGAATACAAGTTTGTGTGAGAGTAGCCATTGCATGCAAATAATGCCAAAGGTTATGTTTGTATCTGGTTCACCCCTCCTAACGTCATTGATTAACTGGCCAAAACTAGATTGTCTTTTTTATTTTTTAAACCACCCATTTTTTATTATTACTTGAAACATCTTCCTGTTCAAATTTATACACCTCACATTGAACAGTCAGCTAGCAATACTTAGTTATCTGCAATCTCATCCCAGGATTCTTAATTTGCTGGGAGGGTGATGGATGCTCTCTTAATCCATTGATTGATGGATAAACCCTCCTTAACGTGCTACTTTGATGTATCAACTCACAGATTTGACTGTAGATTTTTCTGTATTACATTGATTCATCTTTTTTTCTTAAATGTGTAACACACAGATTTTATTTTCATGTCCATACAAACTAATTTTGCTATGTCTTTTAGGCAT